CAGTTGGGCTGAAAACAAGAATGCTCTTCTGCAAACGTGAAAATAAATGAAAACTCCAAAATGAGCTTCTGTCCTGCACTGGGATGAAAATGAGACTTTTCAAAACTTCCATGAATATATCACAAAAAGACCTTCATCTAGAAATACTTTCTGATGTAGGAAACTTGCCTGGCACGTGTGACCCAGGTTCAGGTCTTTTTTTGTCTCGAGTCATAGTAAGTACTGTAATTTAGGTTTCCCCAGCTCTGGCAAGTATTTTAGCCACTGCAGTCAGTTTCTCTTCCAGTGTTTTCTGCCGGACTTCTTCTGCTTTGCGTAAATACACAGGCACTGAAAATTACAGTGCTCATCTGCAGGGCACTTGAAACTTTTGTCTCCCACATCTCCACAGATGAATGCTTTAACTCACTGGCCTTTCCCTGTCCTTTGCTTGATTCCTCTCTCTCTCTCTCTTCTCTCTCTCTTGTATTCAGTCAAATAAATACACAGTCTGGTTTTCAGAACTGCTGAGAAATAAGCGACTTGAATCTAAATACTTAAATGTAGATTTAGGAGTCTAGGCACTGGTTTTGAAATTCTTGTGCAATTCATATTGTGAGACAGTATAGGGACAGTAGCGTGCCTAGGAGACACTTAAAACATTCTCCTTTACATTATAAACAAGATTTAAATAAGTAGCGGATGGAGCTATTACCCAATTTGTTTAAAAAAAAAAGACATTCCAAAGTACCCTACAGATTTTTGGAAAAATATCTTGTGCACGTTTTTTTTTTCTTTTCAGCAAAATGACAACAACAACAAAATGAATGAGTCCCATGTTACAGATCGGACAATGTTTCTTAACAGGGTTTTAAACTTGTTGTTACACAAATGCAATTCCCACTGCCAAGAGTAAGCTAATATATTCTTGGCATGCTTGGTAAGTCTTAAATCACAGACAGTGGGTACATTCTGCTCAAAGTCCAGAGGAAGAAAATTTCACTTTGATAGCTGCATGGTAAAGAAGTTCTTATTCAAAATAAAGCCTATTCCACCATGCCTACACATACAAGACCTCCTTACGCTCAGTAGGCATTTTGCGTACGTTAGGACTGCAGGGCACAAGAATGTTGTCATATGATTATATCTTGATTTTTCTTAGAAATTACCCCAGCTGTGTTTTAATGCCTGCTGCTATAATTTGAAATGAGTAATTGCACAACGGATTAAGAACCCAACATGTTTTACTGGACATTTTAATATGTTTTTCAAATGTCATTTCAAAGATAAAATCTCAGCCTCTGAATTCCACCTTTACTGAAAAAACATATTTCTCTATTCAGACCCTTCTCAGCTCTCTGGTTTTACAATAGTATTAATGACCAATCCAATATGGAAGTTTTGTTCAGGAGTGGTCTTTGTGCAAATAGCTCAAAATGCCTCAGAACAGTCATTATCAGCTAGACTCATTACACGGAGAGGGGAAGCAGGAGCACTGGAGCGTCAAGCAAGTGATTAGTCCGAGTTCATCCAGGAAGCTAGTTGAATGGTAAGCCTCATTCTCAGTCCCCTGTCTCTGCAGCAGAACTCCTCAAACTTTTTCTTTTTCAGAGGAGAAAACCACTGGACACCTCCAGAAAGATTTTAATTTACAAATAAGTAATCTAAGCTAGAAATGTTAATTTTAGAATTTTATTTCCCAATTGTGTGTGTGTTTGTGAGTAATTTGTGTGTGTGTGTGTGTGTGTGTGTGTCTTTTTGTACAACTTTTTCATGCCTTACAGAAGACCAGGGGTGCCTGGACAGCATGTGAAGAAGCATTACTCTAGATCACCACTAACCTTCTGCACCTCAGCTCAGTGCAGCTGTTTAATAAAGAGTGAACCAAAATGAAAATAGCTAATGATATGTTCTCTAACCAATCTAATGCATCAGGTTAATGAGCTGGAGCATACCAGTCAAGCAATTAGATAGCACAAGTATTTCCCTTACTGTACACTGGCTCTAAAATCAAGCATTCCTCTCCTTTTGGTGCAAACCTATTCAAGTCACTCATGATATGAAATGGTTGTAGATATTACAATATTAAAGTAGAAAGCTACAGCTGGAAAGAGCCATAAAGGTAATAAGAAAAGTTTCTGTACATTATGATAGAAATAACACAAAGATGGAGATCATAGAGGTCCAGTACTACCAAGGAATGATGAGGAAATAACAAAAGACAAAGAAAAAGCTGAAATAGTCAATGTTTTCTTTGCTTGCATCTTCACAGTAAAAGGTTAATTCCTACCAGATGCTTAGAACAATTAAAATTATTAACAAACTGGAGCATAGAGAGTAGGAAAAGAATAGGTTAAAATGTTCAGATGTGTTAGATATATTCTAGTTAGCAAGCAGTAAGGAAATTTACCCTGGAGTATTGAAGGAAATAGCTGAAACAATCTGAACCATTAAATGATTATCTTTAAAGAACTCATGGATCATGGAAAACAAGTAAGATCTCAAAGGACTTAAGAAGGACAAATTTCTTTCTTTTTTTTTTTTCTTCTTAAAGGAAAAAGAAAGGACCAGGAGAATTATAGATTGGTCTAGCCTGAAATCCCCAAATGGTTACCGAGTTGTTCAAGTAACTATCAACCTTAGATCATCCAGCCAATAGCAAGATAATAAATAGTCCACATATTTTTGTCAAGCGTAAAATCGTGCCATGTTAATTTAACTTCCTTTTTGACACCATAAATGGTCTTGTGAATAAAAGGGAAACAGATGTGCTATAATATGAATTACATTACATGAATTACATGCACAATTGTACATAATATTCACAGAAACAAGCTAGTGAAGCATTGGTAGGTGAAGCTACTATGAGTGCACAAATGGATGAAGAAAGTATTTTTCAGTATCTTGCTGTCAAACAGAGAAAACATACCAGCTGGGTGCCCCAAGAGCTTTTCTAGGTACGCTCTTTAAAATTTTCATTAATGACTAGGATAACAGAATATACAGCACGTTTACACCATTTGTAAATGACATCCCACTTAGAGGCGGATGTAAGCATTCTGGAGGCAAGATTTTTATTCAACCTGATCTCGAGCTATTGGAAGAAAGGGTTTGAAATCAATAAATTGAGATTCAGCAAATACAATGTGAAGTTGTATTGTACAAGGAAAAATCTAACCATACCATTACAAACTGCAGATTAACTGACAATGTAACATTACTGCAGAACGTGAGTATCTGGATAAAGCAAATCATGAGCCCAATACACAGCAATACTATGCACTGTCCAGTACCATCCATTATTATTATGCTCTTGCCTTGGGTTTGACGCCACAGTCCTCAGAGGCCTGAAAGGGAGATGAGAAATGGTAAGTGGGAAATACAAGGAAATACACCTTATTTCATTTCTCATATAGGGTGTGATTTTCTGCCTATAAGAAGGCTTCTTTCTTGATGAAGAAAATCAGCAGCAAACCAGCCCCTAATACAATCACCACAGTTGTTTCTTGATGGCATTTCAAATGTATCTATGTCAACACTGGCTGACAATGCATGCTTCAGATCCAGGGTATACTTTAGAGACA